TGACGCGAGAAATGGATTATGTTTACACCTATTTACAGGACATTCCAAAGATATTCTTGATTTACACATATCCGAGTTACTAATAATAATGATAATTATAATAATAATAATAATAATAATAATAATAATAATAATAATAATAATATTAACAATAATAACGATAACAATAACAACACAACGGTGTTGTACAAAGAAAAATTCAAAGTTTATGAATTCAATTTGCCTCAATGAAAACATGCGAATTCAAATTTAGGAATACAATAAGATTGTATAAATGTATAGCGAATAGTGTTATGGGATTTTGTCTCTACCGAATATACAAGAAAAAAGAACGATATAGTAGATATCACGATTATTTTCGTGCGCGCTGCGTGGATTGTTAATAATTAATAGAAAATAATTTGGTTATACAACGCGCTTTGTCACTTATTAAAAAGAAATGAAAAGTAAAAAAATTACAAAAAAAAAATATTAAAAAATAAACCACAAAAATACAAAACCATGCGGATTTTCAACATTGACATAAAAGATTTTAACGCTCCAAAACTTGAAATACATGCATACATACATAATATTTTCATTGTCGCATAGTTTTTCGGTGTCAAAATGAAGAACAAATTTTTTTGTACTTAATCTCAAAGAATAAAACAAAAAAAAGGATATAACGACACACATTTTGCAATGACAAAAAGTTGAAGGATTAACAAAAAGATTTATATATATATATATAAATAATATTTAAATATATATATAAATTATCAGAGTTCAAATAAAAAGTGCATACTATCATGCCGATAATCGTCGTCCCTTTATTGCGCTTTATTATTTCAGTTTAATCGATTTGAAAGAGTTGTGCCTTGAATATACACTGTACGACTCCATTGTATTTTTTAGGGTAGACTTATAAGAATCAAATTGCCGATTTTTAAGCGTTTAATTGGTTATTATTATTATTATTACATTTTCTGTAAATCTTAACTGAATCAAAACAAAAGAAAAGAACGTAAAAGAGTGAAAAAAAAAAAAAAATAAAATAAAATAACAAAATAAAAAAAGAGAGATGCAACAAGGAAAAAGAAATAAAAATATAAAAGATGATTTGAGGGAAAAAATATCGTGTTTATCGATTTGTAATAAAATGTGCACTAGCAGCTGATCTAAAACAGGAGAAACAAAACACAAAAATGACTAAATAAACTTTCGAAGGGACGTTAAAATATTTAAACGATGTAGAACTAAAATTGACCACAGTGGTAATTGAACATTTCTTCTTTATTCTGTTATTGTTGTTGTTGGTTTTTTCTTTCTTTATATATACGTATTTAATTTTCTTTTTTGTTTTTTATTTAAAAGGTACGAAAATATATAATAATATTCGACGGTAGAGACATTACAATGGTATGCGAGAATCGAACATTTATTAATTTATATTGTTCTGATATACACACATAAACAATGTTTTCTAAGCAGTTTTAATTAATTATCTCTGTCTACATGTTTTTAATTGTCTATTAAAAATCTTGATTAAAAAAAACAAACGAACGAACGAACGAAATAAATAAATCAATTAATTAACAATCAAACAAAATAAACATCCAAGAACTTAGGTGGTTTGATTAAAAATCGTATTAGAATTAAAGATAGAATTCCAAACAAACAAATAAAAAGTAAATAGATTAAAAAAACACGAAGTATTAGGAATGAAGAATAATTAAGTGCAAAGAGATAAAATAAAACAATCTTGATTTACTCACCAACTGGCCATAGTTCTGACTTATTAAGCAACACTTGTTTTATATAGATATTATATAAATAATATTAAAAAATAAAAATTAACAAAAAAAAGAAAGAAATAAATAAATAAAGAGAACTAAAATGTCATGTAACAAGGATGAGAAATAGAAAAAAAAGAAAGAAAGGTATATGTATACATAGAAATTTATGAGTAAGAAATGCAGCAAGAAGAAGGAGTATGTTGAGATACCAGGAAATAATAATAATAGTAATAAAACAACAACAAAAATACAAGAACAACAACACACGACATATATTTAAATAATCCTTTCGTATTTATCAATTGTCCAAGAACTAAATAAAACAACACACAGCGTACTAAATTACGTACTAGCTTCAATCGGTTAATAAATAAATAAATAAATAAATAATGGTACCTAATCTTATTCAGATATGTACATATACAAACTGCTTTTTATATGTGATAAATGATGTGAAAAGAAAAAAAAAATTTATTATATTCCTATTATACATTGAAGATTAGAAAACGCTATTGTAAATCTTGGTTTTTGTACACAGACTGTATTGCTAAGTTCTTTTTTGTTAATGAAAAAATGTAGTCTATAATTATTTAATATTTAATTGTATTACTAAATATATATATAAGCGTAATACACATAGCTACACACATGCATTATATACACACACACACACACAAATATGCATCTCTTGTATCATATATATAGTTACTTTTCCGAATTGTCAAATGAATAGATGGTTGAATTGAAAAAACAAACATTTTTGTGTCGTCGATACACACGAGATTGTACCGCATTTCTTATATTGTACGCGTTATACTGTGTAAGAGTATGAGAGACGGACACGAAAAAATTGTATAAGAAAAGGGATCACACTTAAAAAAAAACACACTCATATACATACAATCATGCGTATATATTTATACACACAGATACATGCATATGTGCGTATACACGGGATAATTAAAAAAGAAACTCCTACAATACGATTTTGAGGTCGGTAATAATGAATTATTGTGAACAGAACAAAAAAAACGGAAAACAACAATAATAATTAATTAATTAATTAACAAACAAACATAATATACCTTTCCATCGAATGAAAAAAAAACAAAAGAACAAGAAAAACATACACGTTACATTAAACTACTATACACACACGCACACACATAAGTATACATATATATATATATAAAACGGACAAATGTGCCGAAGAACGCGTGTTTAGTTTATCGTGAATGAAAAATAACAAAATGGAAAACAAGTCGACTCGATCGTCTAACGATCAAGACAGAATTATTATATAAAAATGTCCCTTTTTTATTAAACATAAAAATAATAATAATTGAAATAAAAGAAAGAAATAAAAGAAGAAAGTGAAGAAGAAGAGCAAACAAACGAACGAAAAAATAAGGAGAAGAAACATTCTCGTATTTACGAAAAACTAGTATAATTTAAACAAAAAAAAAAACAAAACGGATTTTACGGAGAGAACTTTATATAATATTATTATAATTAAATATCCGTAACGCGATATCGAAATAATTAACAAAGTCAGATACGACAATTTTTCTCGTCGTAAAACAAAACAAAACAAAATAAATAAAAAAGATTCGATAGGCGTCATACAAATTTTTCGAAAAATCAAAGGCAAATGCGTATGGATGGAGGAATGTTTTTCTTGAAATGAACAAAAGAAAAATAAATCGAAGAATAATGGATTAAACTTGAGTGTAACGAAAAAGATAAGCAAAAAAAAATTCAAATGGAAAGATAAAAAATTGTAGCGATAAAATAATTCTCTTTCTCGGACATTATACTCAAGTTTTTCATTTTTTTTTTATTTACGTTAGATATTTGTTTAATGTAAATCTTTCACTCCTCTGTCACCATCATTATCGCTATCACTCTTTCTCTCATTTTCTTTCTCCTTCTCTTTCTCTTTCTCTTTCTTTTTATCACTGTTTTTTCATCGGCGTTTTTTTAGTTTTAATTTAATTTAAAGCACCTATTATTATTATTATTATTATTATTATTATTATTATAATTATTATTAATATTATCATTATCATCTT